TTGTTACTTCGTTCAGTTACGTATTGCTAAAGAATCGACAAATATGAAAGTATGAACCCTTCCTGGACACAAACAATACATTGTGAGACAGAAAATTGTAGAGCGAAACAAACCCTATAACACTTAGGACACAACCTTTTAATGAACAGTGCTTTCCGTAAAATCAATAAAATGAATATACGAAATATTATACATGTTCTGATTTCTTTCCAAAATCGACATCTATGAAACTAGGAACCCTTCCTGGACACAAACGGTACATTTGGCAGTAATGGAAATTGTAGAAGAAGAAACAAAGCCCTATAACATAGGATACAACATTTTAATGAACAATGCTTTCCATAAAATCAATAAAATGAAAATATACGAAAGTGTGAGCCGTATGCAGTTTTTAGCGTGTCTATGAAAATATGAACCTTTCCTGGACACAAACTGTACATTATGAGACAGGAAATTGTAGAAACAAGCCCTATAACATCGGATACCATTTTAATGAACAATTCTTTCCATAAATCAGCCAGTGAAAATACTGAAATGAGCAAATATACAAATTTTTCGAAAATGTATCTATGAAAATATGAACCTTTCCCAAACACAAACGGTACATTGAGGGATGGAAGTTAATGAGAGAAACAAATATAACATAGGACACAACATTTTAATAAACAGTGCTCAAGATAAATAGGCTAGTATACAGGCAAAATGATACTGATTTCTTTCGAAATCAATCTACTCAAAATATAGACCTTCACTGGACTGGAAATGAATTTTGTTGTTGGGCAATTGTGAAAACCAAACTATGGTGGGTTCATTTTAATGAACAGTGCTTTCCATAAAACAGCAACAGATATTCAGGCTGAGGCGACAAACGCCATATTCAAACTATATATATAAATTCGGGTCAGAACGTCCTACGACGTTGTCCGATGCCTAACTTCCACCCTGTGCGATTTTCCCATTGATCTTCGGTCAGATTTTTCTCGCTCATCGACCTTCTTATTCCTTCCATCCATGTTTTCTTGGGACGTCCTCTCTTTCGTTTACCAGGTGGTATCCAATGACCAACTACTTCCATTTAAATCCCGAATAACTTATGAAAAGGAATACAAAAATTTTCAAAAATGGAAGCAATTAAAAACGTGCAAGGTGAAATAAACTTTTTAACCTATCCTCGCTGTTAAAGTATTATTTAATCTACCCTTGCTGTTAAAGCACTATTTTATCTACTATTTTTGATAGATTTTAATTTTTAATTTAATTTTTTGGAATTTTAACAGTTGCTATGGAAAAAAGTAATTTTTTAATAGAAACATACATATATGTATTTATTTATCTTTTATTGTATATTATTTGTATTACAGGTGACAATATTTTCATATCAAGAAGTGTTCAGTGGTATCTATGATTGCTGGGCAACATTCACTGAAGAATGGGGCAAACAAGCCTATGTTATTTGGTAAGTCATGAGTAATAAAAATATCATCAAGCTCTGCTAAATTCATAAATTAAACATAACGCCAAAAATCTAAAGCATTTATTTAATTAACGTAAGAAGAATATAATAATTTTTATAAATGTTTCCTTGAATAATGATTCTAGCCAGTGTAATTTTCTATAATCAAATTTAACGGCAATTTAGCTTCTCTAACCGTGGTTAAATGAATAAACAATATTATACAGGGTGGTCTGAACTGTGTCTGGAAACTTCGGCAACAAATTTTTTGCAGTTAAAAATAAGTAAAAAAGTTCGTATAAATGTATGTCCTAAACTGCTTAGATTCGGGGATACAGGGTGTGGAAGTTTCATTTTTATTTCGATTCTTTATAAATAATTTCTGAAGTGTTTGGGAGTTTTTTGACATGAGTAATTTGATTTTGATGTCCATATGACTCCTATTTGTAAGGGGCGCCAACTACATGTGTTTTAACTGTTTTGAAGATTAATAACTTTTCGTCCGTACCTGTATAAAACTACCGAGTGAAAAAATATACATTTCCGTGATTTTTTACGTAAAAAATGTATCTTGGTAAAAATCGCTATGAGCAACCGTTCTCGAGATATACTCTGTTTTTTTTCTCAGGTAAGATTTCGACAGACGATGACAGAAGAAAAGCAGATGACGTCCCATACCAATCTATTTATTTTACTAAAAAAAGTTTCTAATAATTTTTAAGTCATCTATAGATGGGTTTAAATATAAATCCGTCATGCGTCGTGTCTTGTTGTTTTTAACCAGTTTTATTGGTTTATTTAAAAAATGACAGATCGTATTTTAATTTTATTGGTTTGACGGAACGATGAACGACAAACGGCCGATGCGTATGAACACGCCTTTAGATTTTTGTCATTTTTGACGCTTGTCAAAGTCTTGCCAAATTATAGGTTAGAATTTTGTGTCACCTTTTGTTAAATACCCTGCGTCTTGGAAGATGATGCATGTTGATTCGTATTATTACGTGTGTTTTGTGTCTTTTGAAGTGAAGTGGAGGAAAAATCGAGTGAAAATTAACTGTAGACCCAGAGCACAGTTTATGGTTTATACTCGCTGCCCAGGCAGAAAGTTTTATACACCAATGAAGTTGCCATCGATAAAGTTTGTATACCATTTCGTCGTAGATAAGTGCATCTCGTATATGGTAGAAGGATCAAACTAAACACATACTAAAACTGGGTAACTGTAAAATATCGACCTTTGATAGGTAAATAATGGATTTTAATTACTGCAGAAAAATAATGTCAAAAGGTACTGGTTTAAAAAAAATTAAGATTAAAGTTAATCAACCTTTAGGTATAAAATTTGGTAGATGTTATTATTAATAAAATAGTTTGTTTGTTACCTATGTTGTTTTATTTATTCCTGTGGAGATAATATTACAAATTTATGTTGTACAAGTTATATTGATAAATATAATCATAAATGCCAGTAGTTTCGTAAAGCTTGAAGAGTAAATATGCTTTTTATAATAAATTAAAAGTTCGTATAAATGTATGTCCCTAAACTGCTTAGATTCGGAGATACAGGGTGTGGAAGTTTCATTTTATTTCGATTCTTTATAAATAATATAAAGTGTTTGGGAGTTTTATTGACATGTCTAAAATAATTTGATTTTGATGTCCATATGACTCCTATATTATGGAGTAATCCATCTACATGTGTTTTCAACTGTTTTTGAATATATAATAACTTTTCGTCCCGCACCTGTATAAAACTACCGAGTGAAAAAAATATACATTTCCGTGATTTTTACATGTAACACATGTATCTTGGTAAAAATCGCTATGAGCAACCGTTCTCAAGATACTTAGAAAGGAAATAATAGTCAATACATATCATTATTGACAAAAAATAAACATGTTGAGTAGATATAATTATTTAACTGAATTGATTTGGGGAGGGGGACATTTTAATTCTTTTAATCTATACTAATATAGAAAATCCTTAAGTGACTGACATACTGATTAATCACGCGATCCTGCTCAAACCACTCAACGTAAGAAGCTCAATTTTGTCATACAGGTTGATTCTAGGGTGTAGAGGTTCGATAAGAAGCGATTTTTCGAAATTCCAGTTCCAAGAGGGTGAAACAACCCTTCATATATTACAATATTTTTTATTTAAAAAACGGTCAAGTTTCCGAAAAAACGTTTAAACACGTATATTTTATTTTGTTTTTTACATATTTTAAGATTTTTTAAAAATGTATACAGGGTGTTTCGAAAAATCTGGTCATTCATTAATCACGATCCTGCTTAAAGCGCTTGACGTAAAAAGCTGATTTTTGGAAAACAGATTGACTTTAGGGTGTAGAGGTTCGATAAGAAGGGATTTTTCGAAACTCGAATTTTAAGGTAGTGAAACTATCCCTCAAATATTAAAATATTTTTTATTTAAAAACCGGTGAGTTTTTTTGGAAAAACTCTTAGACATGTATATTTTATGTTGTTGTTTTACATATTTTAAGATTTTTTATAAATTTATACAGGGTGTTTCATGTTCATCAAATATGACCATTGAGTAATCACGATTCTGCTTAAACTGCTTGACTTTTAAGGCTGATTTTTGGCAAACGGATTGACTGTGGGGTGTAGAGGTTCGATAAGGAGGGGTTTCTCGAATCTCAAATTCCAAGAGGGTGCAAACGCCCCTCAAATATTATAATATTTGTTATTTAAAAAACGGTTAGTCTTTCGGGAAAACGCTTGGACAAGCATAATTTATTTGTTTTTTTTACATATTGTGAAATTTTTTAAAAAATCATACAGGGTGTTCCAAAAATTTGGTAATTTCTTAACCACGATTCTGCTTAAACTGCTTGACGTAAAAAGCTTATTTTTGGCACACGGATTTTTCGAAAGTCAAATTCCAACGAGATGAAACTACCCCTCAAATATTACCAAGTTATATAATAATATCGCCATATTGTTTTTTCTCATGCTGATATAAATGTCAGAAAATTTTATCCAGTTTGTATGTTAATGGAAATTCTTGCTTTGCTTTATTATCACCATTACAAATGATTAATTCGACGCGAACGAAGTACACGCTAGTTAATCATAAATTGTTTTTCGAAAAAATGATGATAAAGCAGTTTCTGTTGAACTTTTGGCACAAAAACATTTCAAATTTATGATTTCAGTCTAATAACTATTTAGTCAACATATTTAATTTATGTCAATGATGACAGGTATTGATAATTTCGATTCAAAATATCTCGGGAACCATTTTTACCAAGATACTTTTTTACGTAAAAAATGTAGTAAATGTATATTTTTTACTCAGTTGTTTTATACAGGTACGGACGAAAAGTTATATTACTTTTCAAACCAGTTAAAAATATGTAGGTGGCGCCTTCTACATATTGACATCAAAATCAAATTTCTCATGTCAAAAAAATCCCAGACACCAATTTCCATCCAAATATTGACGTTACTTCGGAGATTATTTAGAAAAAATCGAAATAAAAATGAAACTTAAACTACACCCCCTATCTCCGAAACTAAGCTTTTTAGGACATACGTTTATACGAACTTTTTTACTTATTATTATCTGCAGAATGTGATGCCGAAATTTCAGTAATACAGTTCAGACCACCCTGTATACTTATACACCAAACCAAAGCTCTGATTAGGCCATGATTAAAACTAATCATTATGAAATTTCAGTATTCTCTCATCAATATTTTATAGTTTTACAATTTTAAAATGAAATTTTGTTCTACTACTTCACATGCTCCTCTTATTTCTGCAATTAGTTTTATAAATCGCATAAAATCACGTCACAATACTGCAGTCGTCTAAATTTCGGCGCTTTATTCCTAATCTTTACCTCCAACACCCCGTAATTTCAGCCCAAAGACTCCAAAACCCTTAATTACATCGCGTGTTCTCGCTCTCAGCCACTGCGGCTGTTCTGGTAGGCCTAAGAGCGCCCCCTCCCATTTAAGTGGCCACGGCATTAATGAAAAAGCCTTTATTTATTTTTAAGTGCCGCACGAGTTCATCGCTATGCTTTGACCTAACCTCTAATTCGGTCGTCGTCTCTAATTGTATATTAATTATCGAGGAAAAAGGAAGATGAACAAAGAGGAGACATTAAATAGAGATTTTTGAATACGAGGCTTGTCCTGAAAAAAAAGCTTTAAGTAAATCAATATTTAAATGGGATCGAAAGATCGTTAGCCCTAATGGTGAGTTTGGTGTTTTTTTTCGGTGGGTTTCAGACCTCAGAGAAATAAGTAAACATAGATAGTCCCTAAAGCCTCGTGTACACATCATTAGTAATGCGAGAAACCGATTAATTTCAATAATCGAGTACTCGAGTATCAAGCGATTTCAATAATCGAGCGATCGCTCAATTTTTTTTCGCCCGTCGCTTGTTGTACTCGTAACACCAGGCAGTAAGTTGCGTGCGCAGAGCATTCTTTCGGTGATAAATGACAAGAAGCAAGAGACAAGAGACGAGCGATTCGCTTGATCGCTTGATTTAGTTTATTTCAAAGCATTGTCGATATAGGTCGTAAAATTTTGTCGCAACGGATACCGTCGTATAAATTTGCTATCTGCAATATATGTAGAAAATTCGCTCGGCTTTTTATCGAGTATGTCACATTAAAATTCGATTTTAATTTATTTCATTCTAGGATCGCTTGCGTTTGTCGCTCGTAACTCGTCACTTGCATCGCTCGTTCATAATCGAGCGACGTCGATTATTTCAATAATTGAGTACTCGAGCGAATTTTCGCTCGAGTTATCTCATCACTACACATAATGATTTACATATCAATCTTACCTGTTCAGACACTTTGAATATACAGGGTGTTTCAAAAAACATGTGCCATCTCTGGTGTTTAACTTTAGTTTTGTGTTTATAACTTTAGTTTATCTACTATACAGGGTGGCCCATCGAAAACGTTCCGCAATCCAAAAACACGTCAATTTTGTTTGTGAGGGGGACAACTTTTTCCCCAAAAATGATTGCAAAATCTTCAACCCTCTAAGCGGGGGTGTTATCCCCCAACTTTTTTCAAATGTGAATGGGGGTCAAGGTGGTACCGCAATGAAAAGAGCTTTTTATTCTCTATACTTTCCCGCTTCGTTTTTGAAAATCGGTCGGTTCATTGAGAAAATAGGGAAGAAAAGAGGGTGAGAATTGAGGGTAAAAGTTACTATAAGTGCTACATATTTTAATATTAAAAAAGTGTCGATAAATTCATCAGGAATGTTTTTCAAAAAAAAAAATGTGCGCCACTGATTTGTTTCTTTTGACATCAAAATTATGTAGGCTATTTAATGCCAATTAAAAATTATCTCTTAATATTTTGTTGAATTCGGCCTCCTTGATGAGATAAACGCAATTTTATTAATCACAATTAATAAAATTAAAATAAAAATAGAATTAATAAATTATATATTTTACCTAATTTATTATTAAATATTATTACTATTAGTCCAAACTAGAGTAATTTCAATTAAAAAAATAAAGGTATTTAAAATAATTACAAAAAACCCAATTTTAAAAAATCTTCTAACTCTAAAACTATGCATTTCCATACCCATGTTCATAGGAACTTTTTTTCCTATTTTTTAATGAGGAATCAAGGAGTACGTATTTAAAACTTTTACAAGTTAATGATATCAAATTTTTTTAAAGGTTGCTATTAGTCTTGGATCCAGGCAAATTAATAAAATTGAGTTTATCTCATCAAGGAGGCCGAAATCGACAACATATCAAGAGACAATTTTTAATCGGCATTAAACTGCTTACACTATTTCGCTAACAAGATAAAAAAAAGCAGTGGCGTACATGCTTTTTTTAGAAAAATATTCCAGTGATAACCCATATGCACGTCCCTGGTGAATATGTCGACACTTTTTTAGCTTTAAAATATGTCACATTTATAGTAACCTTTACGCTAGAAATTTCATTCGAAACGTTGAAAGTACTTGGAAGAAAACTATAATAAATCGAAAAAATATGAAAACTTTAACACCCTGTAGCTACGAAACAAAGCGGAAGCGGACCTATGCTGATATGAAAAACAAATCTTATTTTTACGTGAGGAATCTCACGACGAGAGATGGCACATGTTTTTTGACACACTCTGTATATTTTTAAAAAATGCTCTAAATTAGTCTACATATGCTCACAAAATTTCGTTTCAATACAAAGTGTCGTTCTCCTTGGAACACCCTGTATTAATCTAAGCTGTTAAATTGTCAAGAGTTCATTGTTCTCTTCAATAGATTTACATATTTTTCATAATTTTACCAAATCCACTTTTTTTAATTCTTTTACGTGACTTTTACGGAGATAAAACATATAATGAGTCTCCGAGAATATAAGTCTTAATGAAAGGCCAAGAAGTTTAGAAGTTCCCGTATATTTTACCAAGGAAAAACTGGCATTTCAGCACACTTAAAACTTTTAGTACTCTCTTCCTTGCTTATTAAAATTAGTTATACTTTATAAAAGTCTCTTGGACTCTAAACGGAGTCCATGATATCGTTATAATGCAGATTTTTAACCGTATCTTGTTCCTTGAGGAAGCTGACAAGAAGAAAATGTTTTATATGTTTATAAAGAGTAGGGTATTTAAAAAGTCTGGCTTTCAAGATAGACATTTTTTTAATAGGTAATATTTTTGTCATTATAGTTAGATGTTTTTCTTTTAATTTGCTGTTAGCTATAGATTAGGTACATTTTAATAATATTTCATTCTATATTTTCAAATAAGAGTGGACTAATACCGGATGACCGAAAAAAAAACGGCGTCAAAGACGGCTAGGGAATGACAATCGTTGATAATTTTGACGAGGTCAGTCTCTAGACGTCATATACCAAAAATTAACATAAAACTTGCCAAAAATTAACGATAACTATAAAAAGATTAAAAAGGGATAGAAAGTACTTTACTGAGAAATTCGTATACGATTGCTATTTTTCTCACTATATAGTCTGTGAAACGAACAACTTTGAATTTGACAGTTGCCACGGGTTTTTCTAGTGTTAATTTTATTAGGTTAGCAACTTGCGGCCATGCTGACGCAATGCCGTCTCTAATAGAACAGCCTCGGAGCGACATTTATGACGTCACGCTAGTTAGATACTACGGATTAATAAATATGTTGTAGAATACATGGAAAATATAATTATTCCTCGTATTTTTGGTTTGTATTTTAAAAATGATATAGTTTACATGAAATATACATAATATACAGTTAATAAATACAATATATATACCTATTTATAGTAATAAATACTTTGGCAAATAAACTATGAATCCTACAAAATCGTATTTTACCGTTGAGGGAGCCATTATTAAATATTGGCTAAAACAATAAATACTTACTTATTAAACTATTGTAGCTAAATTAAATAAAAGTAAACTGTTATAAATTTAAATAAAGTTCATAAACTAATGTCGATTTTGAAAATAGAGCTAGCAAATTTCTAACAGTCACCAGCCATCTTGATTACCATTTTATTGAAAAATTGATTTTTATTCAAAATCTGAGCTATATAGGTATAGAGAACCCTAATATAGTTTGAAAGAGCGTTTACATCTGCTTCGGTTTATTTTAAAAAATACATAGTGTTGTATTTGAAATAAGAAAGTTTTTATATAAAATAAATATTTAAAATAGACCAGCAATTTTTGATACCCCTGTATACATTTAAGGGAGCAATAATTTTTTTTAGAAGAGTTTATTTTTCTGGCTTCAAAGTCAGCACAAGAATTAACTCTGAAAAATAATGTACAGGGTGTTGACAAACCTTTTTATTATATAGCATGCATATTTAAATATCTTTAAATATCTCAAAATTTAGAGCATTTAAACATATTAAACCCTTATAATAAATGCCTTATTTTATGCCCAAGAATCCAAAAATTAAATAAAATACCGGGTGTTCCATAAGAAAAAATATAACTTTGGTATGGATCTTAGTTCTGACACACCCTGTACATATGAAAATAATTTTAAATAATGCACATTGCTTCTCTACATGTACCCATAAAATATTTTGTATCTACATCTTTCCGTTTTCGTATAATCAGCCGAGGCGAATGAGGAGCGCCACCCTGTATAATATTTTTATTTATTTATTAATATCTCTGGAATTATCGAAATATATTTATTTAGATCTTAGGATTATGTAAAGTGATCTAAAAGAAAGCCAAAAATACAATAGTATACAGGATGTTTCATTAAAAAAAATATCCCAATCCACTCACACTTTTTTGAGCCACCCTGTAGAAGTTAAAATATTTTCCTGGTATACATCCTTGTACACACTATAGGTTTACACTTAAACAAAATTCCCAAGTTTTTTCTAGGAGCTACAGATGTCCGACTCACTATTGCCAGACCCTGTATGTTTTATTTTTATTTTGCTGTGAACTATATTAGGCAATTCATCCCGGATCGCCAAATTTTAAAGTTTAAAATTAATATGTCACACTTTTAAAACTTTTACCCCCTTTTTTCTAGGTACAGCGTGTCAATATTCATCGTACCTCTCCTAGTACTAGTCTACACTTACGGCTGCATTTGCCGCGAGATCTGGCGCTGTTCCGAATCCAGCCTCAGGCCGAGGAACTCGCAGAAAGCCACCACGAAGAAGAACAGGGTACCATTGATATCCAGGGCCAAGATTAATACGGTCAAACAGACGGTGGCTGTTATAGTTATGTACATCGTTTGTTACACCCCGTTTATTTTGGCGCAGCTGTGGGCCATTATTGTACCAAACAGTACTTTTTTAGAAGGTAAGTTCAGTTATTTTATACAGGGTGGCCCATTGAAAACGTTCCGCAAGGCGTAACGGCCAGAGTATTTTTTTTTCAAAAAATCCAAAAACACGTCAATTTTGTTTGTGAGGGGGACAACTTTTGAACCAAAAATGATTGCAAAATACTCAACCCTCTAAGCGGGGGTGTCATCCCCCAACTTTTTTCAAATAGGAAGGGGGGTCAAGAGGCGCCGCAATGAAAAGAGCTTTCTATTCTCTATATTTCCCCGCTTCGTTTTTGAAAATCCGTCGAGTCATTGAGAAAATATGAAGGATTGAAATTTGAAAAGTTTATTTAAGCATTTATCAGAGTAAATGATAATTAAGGATAAATTCGACCAATTTGCTGTTTTTTCTTATTATTTCTAGATGTTTACGCATTTTTTCACTTGCCACAACGTTGAACGATCAGGTGGGGTAGTTGCTAGATAGCTGTTCTGTGACTTGTACGTTGAAGTTCTTCACAATATCGTTAAACTGACCCACAATAGAATTTCCAAAAATACCAGCCCACACGTTCAATTTCTGAGGGTTTTGTGTGTGCACCTCGTGAAAAACCCTGGGGTTGTCCTCAGCCCAGTACCGACAGTTGTGCCGATTAACTACACCGTTCAAAAAGAAAGTACACTCATCCGAAAAACACACATTAAATAGGAAATTATTATCATTCACCACTCGTTCACTAATAGCTTCACAAAATTGCAAACAACGATCAAAATCGTCTTCGTTGAGTTCTTGTACCAACTGAATTTTGTACGGGTGAAACTTGTGGTTTTTTAATATACTTTGGAAACTTGTACGATTCCCGCCGGTTCATTGGCTAATTTTCTTGTACTCAGAATACGGTCCATGGCAACTTGGCCTAATACGAATACCTCCATAGCTTCATTTACTACAGGATTTTCCCTCTGCCTCTTTTTATTCATAACGGAACCAGTTTCGCGAAATTTTGCTACTAACTCGCGAACAATTTTGCCCTAAAGATGTTTGTCAGGATGGCGTTCATTGAATATCTGCGCAACCCGATTGCAAACATCTAGAAATAATAAGAAAAAACAGCAAATTGGTCGAAGGAAGTTATCCTAATCATGTACTCTGATAAATGTTTAAAAAACTTTTCAAATTTCAATCCTTCATATTTTCCCAACCACTCGACCGATCTTCAAAAACAAAGCAGGAAAGTATAGAGAATAGAAAGCCCTTTTCATTGCGGTACCCCTTGACTCCCCTTCCCATTTGAGAAAAATCGGGCGATGACACCCCCGGTTAGAGGGTTGAAGATTTTGCAATAATTTTTGGGGCAAAAGTTGTCCCCCTCACAAACAAAATTGACGTGTTTTTGAATTTTCTGAAAAAAAATTACCCTGGCCGTTATGCCTTGCGGAACGTTTCGTTTTCGATGGGCCACCCTGTATATGATACAGTGTAAAAATCTATACTAATATATAAAATCCCTGAGTGACTGACATACTGATTAATCACGATCCTGCTCACACCACTCAACGTAAGAAGCACAATTTTGGCATACAGGTTGATTCTAGGGTGTAGAGGTTCGATAAGATAATTGCAGTTCCAAGAGGGTGAAACCACCTCTCAGGGTGTTTCGAAAAATATGGTCATTTAATCACGATCCTGCTTAAAGCGCTTGACGTAAAAAGCTAATTTTTGGAAAATAGATTGACTTTAGGGTGTAGAGGTTCAACAAGAAGGGATTTTTCGAAACTCGAATTCTAAGGGGGTGAAACTATCCCTCAAGTATTAAAATATTTTTTATTTAAAAACCGGTGAGTTTTTCGGAAAAACTCTTAAGCACGTATATGTTATTTTGTTCTTTTACATATTTTAAGATTTGTTATAAATTTATACAGGGTGTTTCATAAAATATGACCATTGAGTAATCACGATTCTGCTTAAACTGCTTGACGTTTAAAGCTGATTTTTAGCAAACGGATTGACTGTGGGGTGTAGAGGTTCGATAAAGAGGGGTTTCTCGAATCTCAAATTCCAAGAGGGCGAAAACGCCTCTCAAATATTACAATATTTGGGTAATTTCTTAACCACGATTCTGCTTAAACTGCTTCTCGTAAAAGCTTATTTTTGGCAAACGGATTTTTCGAAAATCAAATTCCAACGAGATGAAACTACCCCTCAAATATTACCAAGTTATATAATAATATCGCCATACTGTTTTTTCTCATGCTGACATAAATGTGAGAAAATTTTATCCAGTTTGTATGTTAATGGAAATTCTTGCTTTCCTTTATCATCGCCATTACAAATTACTAATTCGGCGCGAACAAAGTCGCTGGTACACGCTAGTACTAATATATAAAATTTAATAGTTATCAAAAAATAAAACAGACATTTCTATAATATATTGCCCATGCATCTGTAAAAGTTAGTAATGTGTGGCCCTCGCAACTTGGAATTTTTTCAAAAAATATAAGACAGATACATCAACAGATACTTGAGTATTCCTCTAGACCTACTTGTTTCTCTGAGGTACACACCATTTCCATTTCTTTAAGGTTGTTTTTTAAAGTAATTCACTTAAAAAAATCTTTAAACATACCGCAACAAAGTACGAACAGCGAACAGTAAAATCAAGTTAGAAACTCATGCTGCTTGCTTTATTCTAAGTTTAACGCAATTTCCGATACAAAGAAACACTTTTATTTTCTTTTAAATCATTTACAACACGCCAAAAATCTTTTATTTGTAACATTCCTGTTTTGCCTTATTTCTATTCCTTGTAACAGGAACATCTGCAATCACATACTCATATTTTAACTTAAAAAGAAACGTTACTTCCCCAACTCCTTTAAATGTGATTTACAGGCAAATAAAAAAAAACATTCTGTTTTTATCTGGTGGAAAAAATGACACGAATAATATTTTTTTATTAAGGTTGCTGTAATGGACCGAAAATATTTTCATCTTCAAAATGTCTTACGAGTTTTTCCGTATTCCTTTTGTCAGTTTCTTTTGATAGGGATTTCTTTTATGTGCAAAAGGCAAGGTGGGTTTAGTTGTTGTATTTATCTTTGTTGTATTTAACTGGCTGACTCATAGGATCATAGACTAGAGTGTTTACTATACAGCACTCTGTATAGAAATATACTATAACCGCACTCTGTATAGAAAGAGCTTACCTTCTTTGCTCCTAATATTACCACAAAATAATATTTCTTAATTATATACAGGGTGTTTCAAAACAAATGCGAAAAACTTCAGCGGGTGATTCCTTGTTCAAAATAAAGGGTAGATTGCTTCATAAACGTTGGGTCAAAATTAAACCATTAGGGAGATATCGCGGTACAAAGATGGCGGAAAAATAATGTTTTTATTTTTTATCTTGAAAACGAAAAGAGATAGACTAATGAAATTTTATGGAAGCCTTACTGTTACGAAAACACACTTTCTGGTAATTTTTTAACTTTTTTAAAATGAGTGGAAGAGGTTGAAATATACTACCCCTGTCATTCTTGTTAACGCAATTTAAAGAAAAATCTTATCAAACATATGCAAAAAAAAATAATTTGGATAGTTTAATTTCACTATCCAAATTTAGAACGAATTTTATTACGAAATAAAACTGTTGGACAGCAGCCCACTAGATTCTTTATCTGAAAATGTTTTTTGTCCTGACATGTAATGCTTTACATTTTATTTTGTCAGTAGTTGTAATTTTAAATCGGTGAGTTTTATCAAAAAAACACAAGAGATAAAAAAAGTTTCTAAACAAACTAAACTATTTAAATTATTTTTTTGCATGTGTTTGATAAGACTTTTCTTTAAATTTCGTTAACTAGAATGATAGGGGTAGTTTATTTCAACCCCTTCCACTCATTTTAAAAAAGTGAGAAAATTACCAGAAAGTGTTTTCATAACAGTAATGCTTCCATAAAATTTCATTAGTCTATCGCTTTTCGTTTTCAAGATAAAAAATAAAAACATTATTTTTCTGCCATCTTTGTACCGCGATACCTCTTTAATGGTTAACCTTTGACCCAACGTTTATAAAGCAAACTACCCTTTATTTTGAACTAGGAATCACCCTCTGAAGTTTTTCGCATTTGTTTTGAAACACCCTGTATAACACTCACTTCGTCAAAGATTTAAGCTGAAAACGATCTATTTATCAAAATTAAGCCACAAAATTCTGTAAACATCTGTATTTGATATCGTTTTTACAAAAGACACGACTCGAAGGCAAAGTCAAACGAACGACCAAAAACTAAAATAGGTAAAAGAAATAGCAAACAGGGTGGAATTAAAAGTTTGCTGCACGTAGAAATATGTAAAATCAAAGGACCACAAAGCAACCGAAGCTCGGGAGTTTAGAGTTGTTAACTGCAGTGCATTGTCGTGATTTCGAGTAATTTAAATTGAGCTTTAATTGAGGAAAAGTTTCTGGAAAACCAGCGTCAAAGTGTTCGAGGTTAATAGGAAAGCACACGAATAAACTGGAAATCTTTGCACCTATTATTTTTATTTTTATACAGGTAGCTTTTGGTTGCCGAAGGTTGAGAAAATAAAATAAAATTATCTACATTCCTAAAGATGCAGAGGTCATGTAGATAGGATAGGGTTATTTTATTTTTTTTACGCAAAAACCTTTTGTCTTTAAAACTTTAGATATTTCTGATTAGCTCGTTTACGAGTTATAGCCCGATTTCTTTTTAAATATTTCTCCTGTCTTATGGCCTTATATTTACTTATGACCACTAGTCAAGGTAAAAGATAACTTTGCGTGCTTTATTATTATTGAAAACTCATTCCTACATCGGAAATCATAAAGATGTATATAAATACAAATTAATATGAATGAAAGTAAAATAAAGTAATCAATTACAAGGTTAATTATAGTATTATTACAAATTCAATAACTTATTAATTTAGGTACTATTAAATTGTTAGAACTTTAGGATTTAAGAAGATGTTCAAATATTCCTCCATCGACTGCTAGACAATAAC